CACATGCAATTTCCATAAAATATTTTCATAGTCGAACCCCATATCACCCAAACCATATACTTTAATAATAACCATAATAATTATCACATCCCGGGATCGGCTCTGCTGTAGAACGATATTGTCCGCTTTGGGCTCCCCCTCTCTGCCCTCACGGTTTTGTTTCTGGGAACTCACGAGTACCTTCCCAGCGGCACTTATTCAAAATTTAGAAAGAGATCAAAGTGGTTGCAAGATAAGCACAATAACACTTTCATACAACGACTACACTTTAAGGTACATGTTATTGAATAACATATTAGATTTTTAATTTTCTTCTTTCTATGTTAGATTGAATTAAGATATGATTAATTTGCAGGTTCATAGTGAACTTAATGAGGAAGACAATAATGGCGTGTCAAAAAATTTGAGGTGGCTAGCAGCTAGTCCAAGCATGGCAATGCCATCATATAGGAGTTATCTTATTAATGGTGTTAAATTTAACACCAAGGCACAAGATGATGTGCAAATTGTCCAAAATAATGGAGTTTATTTACTTGCACATACTATGCAAGTTGCTAGTGCCAAGGATAAAAACCCTATTGTCTCCAATATGAGTTTTTATGGTGTCATTCAAGAAATTTGGGACCTTGACTACCAAAAGTTTAGAATCTCAGTCTTCAGGTATTGGATAGATAACATTTCGGGCCTTGTAGTCGACAAACTTGGATTTACCCTTGTAGATCTGAGTAAATTTGGACATAAGAATGACCAATTTGTTATGGCTTCTCAAGTCAAACAAGTATTTTTTGTTGACAACCCAATGTATCGTGGTTGGTCGGTAGTGTTATCAATGCCTAATAGAGAATATAATGATGTTATTGGTGATGATGTGCTAGGTGATATTAGAATTGAGTGTGAGCCATTTACTAGAGGGATACCCAATGTTGACACATTTAATGACCTAATGGGTGAGTTTATGAGTGAAAATATTAGAGATGGGTGTGAAGATATATGGATTGATTGATTGTTGTAATGTATGACATTAGTTATGCAATTAATTGTATGATATTAATTAATGGCTCTGTATGACATTAATTTTGCATTAATGAGTATTAAAAATACTGAGTTCAAGGTATAAAATAAGACGGTCCAGTTAACAAATTGCAAAAACAAACATCTAAATCATAACCAATGTCCTATTTTAACAAACGACGTGGAATGACTATGCAAAAGACCTATGTAAATAAAAACCGCTATTTGAAAAAGAAAACACGTTGGTTAATTAAAATTCGTATTACATGACAACTAATAGATATTACCAACAACGACGGTCATGATAATAATTCACATCGTAGATTTACAAATAAAACGAGGGAAGAGTGCTCCAACCAACGAATCTTAGGACAACACTACTTCTACCGATAAATAATTATCATTGTCTAAAGCGCACAATAAAGGCAACTCAGTTCCATTAGCTGTCGTGATAGCTCTTCTGAACGTCAAGTAAATGACAACAATTGACGTCTCAGAGAATACACACGTCAATGAGGGTTTAAAAAGTGACTTTTAAAAGGTCAACCACGTCAATTTCTATACGCTTACTGACGTGGTAAGTTAAATAACAATGACGAGCAATTGGACAGTGCGGACGTAGTGAACAGATTAGCCAAGACGGTTAGTTTACAATAATCGCCGTTCAAACATTTATCCACAGCGATTTACTTCCATTGCACACCGTGAAAGGTTTTTTAACGACCGTGTCGAAATATTCGTGTTGTGGTTAGGGAATGTTACGTCGGTGTATAATAAAATTGTGTCATGTTAACAACTTCAGTTGTCAATATTTTCCAGAAAACATCATGGAATATATTTAACAAGGCAGTGTATTCCTAGATGGCGACATGGAAGATGTTATAAGCAGCGGTCATTCTAAGCTTGTGTCGTGGTTAATATATTTTACAACGGTTACGTTGTAATTCTTAACATGTAATATCCTTTAGACATTTGTTCTTTTCTATACTCATCGTCTAAGATAGTAGAAGTTTTCCTTTTTTTGCTTTTTTATAGAATTTAGACGCCAGTTTTTGTTTTTAGTTGATGTAGTATATCTTAACCATGACGGTTTCGATGTTATAAACGACGATATGTTTTCAAATAGACACATGGTTAAGGGTTTTTACGTCGGCATGTATAGAGTTCTTGACATATAATCCCCTTTGGATGTTTATTTTGCTAAACATGTCGTCTAAGATTGTCGAAGTTTTCCTTTTTCGCTGCTTTTATAGTAATTAGACTTCGGTGTGTCTTTTGAGATGATGTTGTATGTCTTAAAGACGTCGGTTATTTGCCATCGTTGTTTTATGCATCAAAATATGATGGTTGATTTCACAACAGTTTAAAAACTTTCAAGACGACGGTGGATTCCCGTCATCTATTTCCATTTTTGTAGTAGTGAACGCCAAGTGTGGTAAAGTGACAGTAACCAGTATCCAAGTGAGCCCACATGCCACGTGTGGGTAGTAATCAGGGAAGGTACATATGATGGTGAAATTCACAAACTCATATATATATATATATAATATAAAATAATATACCCTCCCTTAATTCAATTTTCCCAAATTCTCAATATTCCAATGTACCCAAATATTTATTCATAGTATAGAAATAAACTCTCAAAATCACATTTTAAAAAAATGTCCATTCACTACCTAATAATCATAGCTGAGTCCCAAGACTCGCTTTCACAACCATTCAATCAAGTATCCCATAATCATATATTCCACAACTCCAAATATTTCATAAACTTCAAATATCAATATAGCATCTAATAACCACAAAATACCATAATCCACAATTAAAACTACAATAAGAGTTCATAATCCCAATAGTCAAGATAATCAAATATACACATGACATTTTATATACGCATAACATTCCATCCTCGAAAATAATGATCATTAAAACAGACACACAGCTCACCCTGAGAGGGCTCTCCCTCTGGGGTACGCGAAGTGTGGGTACCTCACTCAGGAGCATAAGCGGATCTAAATAATAAGCGTACCCAACAACGAACTTTAACTCAACACTCAAGTTCCCGGGTCTCAAAGTGTGCGCAACCTTTAAGGGAGTTTATAAACTTATTCTAGAACTTCCTGAAGGACGAGACAGTCCCGGAAGACTCATGGTCAACCAAGTAGTTAAACTTTCCGTATTGGTCAATGGGGCCCGCTCGGCCCAAGACCACCGATTTTCTATCTGAAAGTCCCTACAAGTTCAACAAGGTTTACTAAACACGTCCGTAAGTTTGGTCTCGATCGAGCGGTCGGAACTAAGCCAATCGCACGATCGGATGGCGATCGTTTCTCCTAAACCAAGAATCATTTATTCGAAGTATCCGAGACTTCGATTCTCGATCCGTGAGTTCCTACATGATCCTAGAGGTACAGAGAACAACCTATTTGAAATTGGCACAGATCGAACGATCCATTTGACTGTCAAACGGTAACCAATTCCAAATCTGAGCATACCATCGTGCTCAGAACGATAAGGGGGACATTTTAGAATGTAGTGGGCCGCCGCCCGCCTCTGGCAAAGCCTGGGTGTCTTGAGAAATTTCCGACGACAGAAATTTCTCAAAACAGCCTACATTACTTATACCAACACGTTCAAACTATCAAGGGGAGCATTTTTGGTTGTTGGTCCACAACCAAAAAATGGTCGGAGCTAGCCGAATCGAAGTCGGAATAGTAAGATTTTGGCCGAAACTTCCCAGCCTCGAAATGGCGGCGACAGCCACCAATGGCGTCGCGCAACCTAGGGGAAAGCAAGAGGGAGGAGAGAGCTACTTTTTCCAAGTGGTGGCAAGGCTTGAGGTGGTCGAAAACGTCGCTGACGACTGTATCAGTTTCTACTGAGTTTTCTAATCGACGCCATTGCCAAACGCCGAGTTTTCGATCGGAGAAATGGTGTGGGCTGGAAAGAGAGAGAGAGAGAGAGAGAGAGAGAGAGAGAGAGAGAGATTTTGGAAGTGGTCTCGTGGGATTTGGTGGTCAGACGGCGACAAAATCGCCGTATGAAACGACCGGTGTCGCAGAGAGGAGAAAGAGAGGAGAGAGAAACTGTCGGGGGAGAGAGAGAGAGCACTAGGGGGAAGAGAGAGAGAGATCCAGGTATCTAGGGTTTTTGACAAATTTTGAAATTACCGATACATCCTTTCGGTTTTCTAACCTTTACGAACTCGTTACAACTCGGAATTGAGCATGCCGCCTGTCTACGAACTAGTATATATATACAGTCCCTTCTATTGAGGGACATGCTTTAGGGTCTCTTACGAAATTTTTTTAAACAATCCAAAACATCTATTTTTTAAGTCTACATTCATAGATCATCCTTGTAAAAAATTAGACAAATCAGACACCGTTTCAACATCTAATTGTGTCCTATAAAATCGATGAACACGGTATTTCAATAAAGTACAAATATTTTAATAACTCAATTGAGTGGTCAAATAATATCGAATTCAAGTGATTTTTTTGTAGAGATGATTTTTGAATGATTATCTAAAAGTAGACGGCTTGGATTAATAAAATACAATGTATGGTGGGCCCTACAAGGGTGTCCCTCAAATATTTGAGGGACACTCTTATAGGGCCCACTCCGTATTGTATTTCACTAATCCAACAGTCTATTTTTCTATATATTTATTTAAAGATCATCTCTACAAAAAAATCACTTGAATCCATTATCATTGACCACTCTTAAATTATTAAAATTTTAGTACTTTCTTGAAGCACCGTGTTCATTAATTTTGTAGAACACAAGTAGATGTCAGAATAATTTCCGATTTGTCTAATTTTTTGCAAAGATAATCTATGAATTTAATTTTAAAAAAATAGACGGTTGGGATCGTTGAAAAAAAAATCATAGGGTCCCCTCATTTTATTTAAGAAATCCCTCAATAGAAAGGGACTATATATATCATTTTTTCAGCAGAAAAAAGATTACAAGGAAGATCCCCAGACTTCATTCGTATATGTTCTTTATATCTATCATTTTCTAACAGAAGAAATCCTCCGCACGTTTTTAAACTTTATACAACCAAAGATGGCAACTTCATATTGAACACAATATGATGTGCCTTTGAAAAAAATAATTATTGTATCCAAGACTTAAAAGTGTTTATTCCTACTGTGTGGCAGCGTGAAGATCATGGGTATTCCATGTAAGAACGAAGCACCCTTCTTTCCTCTTGAATAACTCCTGAAATATCTATCTTATATCTTAGAGGCATCGGCTGTAACTCGGCTCAAAGCTACAGCAGTCTTTGAACCAGAGGGGCGGCCCAAATGCTTGCTGATGAAGTCCCCAGCCATCAAGAGTTTCGCCAAATCCACATTGGTTTTGACACCAAGTCCATTAAGCATGTATACAACATCTTCAGTGGCAACGTTACCTGAAGCTCCCTTAGCATACGGACACCCACCTAAACCCGCAATAGAGGAATCCACTATGCTAATCCCCATCTGTTCAAAAGAAAATATTAGGGTTTACACATTTATTGTAACACATCTACCTTGTTCCTGACTGAAAAATGAAGGGAAAAAAAAAACAATAGGCCTTGGAAAGTCCTCGGTGAAAACCCTTTTCATTTTTTGCTTTCTTGTTATGAAATATCACAATTACTTCAAAACACCTAATCTATTCCTTAAAACTAAACAAGGAAACAAGGGGGAAGTCCTTGGTGAAACCCTTTTCATTTTTTGCTTCCTTGTTATGAAATATCACAATTACTTCAAAACACCTAATCTATTCCTTAAAACTAAACAAGGAAACAAGTCCCAAGGGAGGGAAAAGTAAGGTAAAACAGGAGTAAGATTGCAACTAATGTTCTAAAAAATTACAAACAAAAAAGAAACATGATCACTGATTTGTATATTTTAGGTAAATTTTAGGAGTATTTGGTATTACTTTTGCACGCAAAGAAATGCGTACAACATTAATTGTATGAAGTGTTCTTTAAACTTAATGTACAACAAATTTTAGCTTAATCATTGCTCATGTTAGGGTAATATCAGTGATTATATTCAAAGGAGGGTGTCAAATGTTTGTCTATATCTCCACTGGTGTAATGATGTACAAAGAGAGGTTTAGGATACCAATAAAAAAAATTTCTCCATTAATCAATTTCTTTACAGCTTTGCCACGAGATGTGGGGAAGCTAATATTTTGTGGGTGCATTCATGCATTCCTCTTTTCATTGAGAAACCATTGCACACAAGGGGAAAGAAAGGGAAAAGTTTTGTGGAATTGTAGTGTATACTAATAGTTGTCCTTTGGGTGGTGTTGGAAAGAAACAAAATTAATTTTGAAAACAGTTGATGTGGACTGGTAGCTAGGCTGCTTAAATGGATGAAAGTGTCTTCAGTAGACAAATTATTCATTGTGGTCTACTTGTACCTACTAATTATATTCAAAACATTGTTCTGTTTCTTACGAAAAGATAAAATAAAAATGCGACTTGAACCAATTTTGGCATGTTAAAGATGGCTCACTTGAAGAGATACGAGAATGTTTGAAAGAGATTGCCCATAGGTGTCATGGAAGTGAACAGCAAGCTTCTCAACAGGAACAACAGCCATCACAGCTTCAAGCATGGGGACAACCGTCCCTGTGTCGAAGGAAGGAAAAAACAGATAAAAAATAAGTACAAGGCCATTTGGGGTATGACAGAAAAAAAAAATATATATGTATATATATATATATACTAACAATGATTATCTGGGCATATGAAACTTCATATTTTGGTTGAAAGGAAAAATGTCACTCTATAAATGAACATCCATCTTTAGAGGCCTTGGAGTAATGGCCTTTATTTGAAGTCAACATGTATTTCTGTCCACATTCTATAATTTTTTTTATCAGCTTTCCTAATGTAGGATAGGGATTCACTCCAGGGACTTCACACCAGAATTCCCATAGCAGGAAAGCAAACAAGAAAACTTTGATTCATCAACTAACTCCCATTGAATTACATGGGAAGTATTTAGAAAGACCTATATCTAATAGGAATAGGGAAGTAAACCTATTCCTAACAGAAGTAACCATAAAGACCCAAACACAGGAAAACTTGATTCATCAACTAACTCCTATTGATTTAGATGGGAAGTATTCATAAAGACTTAAACCTAATAGAAACAGGAAAGTAATATGTTTTGTAGGACAAAAGTAATTTGTTAATCAAAGTACAAAGTTCAAAATGTTACCAGGTGTAGCAACCCCAATTGTGTCACCAAGAGAAATTTCAAAGCAGCCCATGTTGTAAAGTTCTTTTGCTACATATGCCACTCTTGATGGAGGAATTGCTCCCTCCACTGGACATCCAATGGCACACGAGACATACCTATCAACGTTAAAAACAAGAAGTTAATTCGTAAAAGAACCAGCGCACATAAAATAAAATAAATGTTCCTTCCTTTATGTCTTCAAAGAAGTACTAAAGTAAGATCACCACCAAAAGGATAATGATACATACAAACATAGAAGCGAGAGGTTGAACGGTACTTTTGTCTAACTCATAGAGAGTTCATAACCCAAATTCCAGTGAAGGCAATTTATCCATCACAACCAACATAATTAAAATTTAGCATTATCATAGGACAATACAGTCTTATCTGCTCCAAAATTGAATTTGAAGTGAGATATATCATTCTTCTTAACCCACCAAATCAAACCCTTAATTATTAATCCTCGCCCCCAAGGAAAGGAAAGGTAAAACAAACACTAAATTTATCAAAGCCCAGCAGACCTCCTTTCCTGTAAAGGGAAGGAAAAAATTAGAAATTGTATACCACAACAGAAAGTTTAGTTCTGCCACTTTGAGTTGAACCTCAAGGAAGTATTGGGTGCGGAAAGCATCAGGATCTCAAATTGCCTAATCCTATTTGGGAAGGTATGTGCCTTGGCAATAAGATCTAAACATCTGATCCTTCTCCTTCATGTTATGTTGAACCTCTTACATGAGAACTTGACTCCTAACATAATGAAAAGAGAAAAAAAGAACCCTACTAAAATCAAGTCATTGAGAGTGTTCCATGGCCTTGTCATATCATGGCCCGCACTATTATCTCCCATATTTGTATTTTTTGGCTAAATACATTTTCTGTAAGTAACAAGATAGCACGAGGGGTTGGAAACCAAAGAGAGACGTAAGGATGAAAATATGAATCAGCTAGTGCAACGGCAAGCTTGAGCTTTCATTTGTGATCCTTGAAGTGTTCAGCCACAATGCATCAGAACATGTGCCAAGAAACAAATGATAGCAGATGTTTGTGGCCTATCATTTCCTTTTTAAAATTGCATTGTAAAGGAAACATGCCCTGGCAGAGGGAATACAGACATCATGTAGGACAATGCTTGCATAGGGTAGCTGGAACTAATATAATATTATACAGAAATAGCCTACAAGGCAAAGAAAAATAGCAAAAGAAGAGAGAGAGACAGCTGAGAAAGTTTTTCATGTAAATCCTACATTAATATTGCCAAACCATCTTTTTCATTTTTTAACCCATCTGTTGATTTGGAAGGTCAAGCTAGCTCTCATGTTTCAGTTACTTAATAAAGTTTCTGTTTCTTATCACACAGAGAGAGAGAGAGAGAGAGAGAGAGAGAGAGAGCATACCCTCGAACAGGAATTGAAAGCTCTTTTGCCGCACGAGTAACAGCACGATAACGAACAAGACTTTCTTCAATGCTACAATTGATGTTCGACTTTGAAAATGATTCAGAAGCTGATGCAAAGACTGCTATGTCCTTAGCACCAGCTGCAATAGCTGCTTCAAAGCCCTATAAAAGTTGATCAGATATGTCAGAGAAATCACATGACAAAAGTCTGGTAGTACTACTAGAGATCACTTACTTTTAAATTGGGTGTCAGAACAGGCAATCTAGCACCCTCCAAATTCTGAACTACTTCCATTACATCCTTTGCATCTGCTAGCTATATATAGAAAGGAAAATGGAACAGAAGTGAGAGAAGTTATACTCAAACAGCGTTCCCAAAGAGAAATCCACATATCTATTGATGAGGATCATAGTCAAAGCAAGCAAACGCTATACATATATTGTCTTCAAAGTGAAGCTGTTTAATTGAGATCTGCTTTACCTATGTACCATTATTTCCTAATAAGATATTAGCAATATTGATCACAGGATGAACTTTTTAGCAGGAAGAGAAGTTAATATTTATAACTTTAGTGACCTTAAAGTGGGACTGCAAATATCATTTCTTGCAGATATTACATGGCGTGTGATGTCTTGATAATAGTTCTGATATTAAAGGTACAAAATTTCTTTTTTACGATGAGTTTTTAAAATGCAATTGACTAAAATTTCCAGAATAGGGTTAATAATGACAACTTTTTCAAAGATCTCTTAAAAATTAAAACTAGGGGATGTTTGTATACTTTATAAAAATAGGAAAGTTTCTTGAATTCACTGAACCTCAGAGGATATCTGTATTTCAAATCAAAAGAATACATGATATTTGACGTCTCTCATTATTGTATCATAAATTAATGCTTACGTTACCAAAATCTGACTCATAGAAAGGCATCTAATTAAGCTTCATAGGATTTACAGGTTAAACTGAGAACCCTAAAAACTTAAGTAAGAAGACATTTATCAGTTAACTATTCCCTTAAAAATTACACTTTCCAAGAGAAATTTGAAGTTACCAATTCAATTAAATAACTAGTAAAGGTAAATTACCTGAGGAACCCATTTGGGTGATACAAAACTTGTAGCCTCAACAACAGACAACCCACAAGATACCAGTCTATGAATCAATTCAATCTTTACAGATGCAGATACAATATTCTTTTCATTTTGAAGTCCATCCCTTGGACCAACTTCTACTATCTTTACAAACTTTGGTATACCTTTCAAAATCTGTTTCATTCAAACAAAAGACAAATAATATGCAACCCAAGTGTCAAAATGTATATATAATTTACAAGAAGAGAAAAGGAAAACTTTATCTGTTACCCAACAGATATCACGACATCCTCATGCAATAAGTTAAAACAGAAGGCAAAGATATCATCATCCTATTTAAGTTATTGAAGCACCTTATTTGTTATATCTTTGTCATTGCACTTGGACTCATATTGATCTGACAAATACCATGAATCACAAATATTTCCAAATACCCTGTGATTCCTGCCTAAGCTCAAGGTCCTTTGATTGAAGGAGTCACCACGGGAAATGTCTCTTGTATGTCTTTTCCATGGAAAGGCCTCCCTTGTATATTCTTCATAATCTTCGCTGAAAATTAACATAAGTTTTTAAGGTTACATTATCAATTAAACATTATTATAGTTTAGAGTAGCTAAACTATGTAAGAATATGCTCTGCACGGGTCATTCTGTGAAAGCAAGAGACAATTAGGAACTGAGAAGAAGATGAATAAATCAATTCGATCTTCAACTAAATGGTAAGGGAAAAAACCAGGATCTTGTCATTTATCCTTCAGACAATTTCCAACTATGTGGTCTGACCCGAGCACATGCTTACGCACATGCCTGCATGGGCATACTGATGTAGGATAAAAATCTCTTACTAAAAAATAAATCCTAATCCAAACAGGAATAAGAAAACAAACCAAACCAAATAAATTAGGAAACTGACGACAAAGAAGGAAATCTGGTCCAGAATTTGAATGCTATGACAGAATTTGATTGTTTTGTGCACACGAAAGCAAATGAATGGATAACGTACATTTTGCTTGTTTCCCAAACAAAATAGATCACAAACTACTTACTTGCAGCTATTGGATGTGCTACAACTTCTTCCTTCAATCCAACAGTTCCCCATTGCCGCATCATCTGCTCTAGACCTGCAAGCACTAGATGAGAATCTTTGAACCCGATCAATAGTACTCATGCTAGGCAACTTGTCAAAACCAAGTGGCTCCTCCAAGCTCGACATCGTGGAAGTAGATGGAAAAGGCCCAACTGAAATTACCACAAAACAGAAGTAAATGCTCTGCTGCCTACAAACATACTTTTCTAGCATGAGACCAACAATACACCCATGAATAAATTCATCATCCTAACAGATGGCAAATGGCTGTCAAAATAAATTTTAAATATTTGAGGAAAACAACAAAAATTCAATGCTCCACCATATTTTCTAAGAACTAGAATATCATGTCTGGTAAGTGAAGAAAACAGCAAAAAACATGAAAATAATCAATGGCATTCATTTCAGTTTAGGTTTGTTAACTCATACAATTTAACATGGTACCACTATTCTCACATAATTAGCTCAAATGAGGGTTAATTTAAGTTACCAATCACAAGTCATGTCACGTCTCAACAAGGACAAGAAAACTTATGACTTAGATCTGTCAAACAGTAAATTGCAATTCGAGATCAACCAAGTTTATCTCAAATTTAATAGTTTTGCCTTTCACTGTATCCTTTCATATTGTGGCACTTCCTAGAAACATCCTAATTCAGAAAAACTCATCATATAGTCATGTTTTTCTTGGCTATTAACAACACCTTACTGCAGATCACTCTTGTAATTTCTTCCTCTCATTTTCTGTAACTCATCAATCGTCGAAACTTCAGATACTCTATAGCATTATACTTCATTAATTTATACTCTTCAGTCAATGAACATCGGGCCAAGGCAAATGCAATCAAATAGTAAGAAGAGCACCCTTATGGCCATTGTTCAGTTGGCAAATGCAATGCAAACAACCATAGTGTACCAATTGAATTACACTGACTCCACCCAAACTACCTATCGATATTTTCCTACCTTTCCTTGGCAACCAAATAATCATCAGCCAACAAACACAAAACAAAAGTTTAATTTCAGCTACAACTTGTATGCAAAGCAGAAACCAAAGCATTAAAAGTCCAAAACCGAAAGAAGTAACCAAAATTAAGCATCATCAATCACTCAAAACTTATATGTCGAAACAGTAAAGGAAATTAAAACAAAACAAAAACAAAGACCCTCTGTTTGGTTGGCAAGAAAACCAAACCCAAGCGCAGCAATTCTTGATAAAGCTAAAAATACAACAATTTGGTATCTTTTTCCAATACTATATATTCAGATAGATATTCAAACTTGTGGGAAGGAGAGGCAAACAGACCTGAATTCCTTGACAGAGGAAAGCGAGAATTAGGGTTTCTGAGAATGGGAACAGAAACCCTAGGATTTGGGAATAATCTAGGCACTATAGTTTGCAACAAGAGAGGCAAATTCTATCGGTGGTTAGATGGAAAGTGTGAGAAGAAGAGAAGGTGACGAAACGTGACGAAGTTGTTCGAGGCAGAAGGCTTATTAGATTAATTAGATAGGTTGGTGGACGACGTTAAATTCTAAAATTCAATTTTTCTTTAAGATCACGCCTGTCCTCTGTTTTTTTCTTTCTTTTTTTTCTTTTTTGTATTTAACGTTTTTATTTTGGTTCTCAATTTTCTTTCTTAATTGGAGAGGCACACATGAATTTGAACACATCTCTGTCATCTCGTCTGTGTGTGTGAAGGAGAAGGGCAGAGAGAGAGAGCGGTGGGGGGGAAGAGGTGGTAGGTAGTTTTCAGCTGGAAGTTGTTCACATTATTTTAGAATTCTTTATTGCGTGGCCTTCAACAAACGAGAAATCCTTGTATTGGTCCGTTTTCTGCATACTGACAAACCGTCGCAAAAAGGTTTGGAGATTTACGTGATTATCAATTTTAATTATTATTTTTTTTTTCCCCTTAAACGAATGGACCGAGTTGGTCTGAGCATGACACGAGTACGGTCTGATTAAATAAGGTCCGATATATGACATATTCCATATTTTTGGTATGTTTAAAGTCCATTTATTATTCACCCAAAAAAAAAAGTCCATTTATTAAATTATAAATATTTTATAGTAAAATAATACATAATATCATTATATTTATATTTTTGTATGCGAAAATAAAATTACAAAGCAAAACCTCTTGGACAAGCAAATCCAAAGAAGTTGGAAGCTTGTGACCCATGCCCAAAAGCAAGTTTGCCGTGAAGTTAGCTTCCTTAAAGATGTGATGAAATTGCAAAGACTCACAAAGTGAACTCAGGTGCCAAATGTTTTGGATTAGAAGAGAGACACACCATGGGACTATAGCATGCTTTTTAACACAGTCAGGCCCTGTTTGGTAGGCTAGACTGGACTGGTTGAGATATGACTAGATTTTAAGCAGTTGTTTGGTGCAATAAACACTAAGTTGAGATTGCAGGACGGAAACAAAAATAGCAAAATTTAAAAACATACAAATAAATTTATAAAAATTATAATTATGAATACAATTCTAAAAAAATCTTTGAATCATAGGACTATGACCCAAACTCCAGAGAAAGATCAATTGGGTGTCTCTTCCGTGGCCAGTTGTCGCAACCGATTCCCCGCCGGAACAAAACTTTGTCTCGATGACCAATCAGACCCACAATTCAAATCATTCTTTCCAAAAAAATCCCCAAATCCTAGTGAAATTTCATAACTTGCCATTGAATCCCAATCTGGGAAATGAAAATTGCTTCTTGGAGATGGTGATCTACCAAAAGAGCTCTTCCTTGTCTTCCACCAAAACGGTGTCATAATAAAAAAAAACAAAGGGGTGGCTCAGAAGCATCTCAACCGTCCACAACTTTCTCGAGTCCTTCGCAAAACACTTCCCCATAAAATCTTTTCCACTCGCCATCTCCTCAACCAAACACCCAAGAGCCCAAACAAGCAAGAATCGCAAGGCTCCCTCATAAGATCTTAAGAACAAGGCCTCCTTTAAATCATATCTCAAGCTTTGCCAAACTGACTGGAAGATGCGAAGATATGGCAAAGGGGAAGAGAGAGAGAGAGAGAGAGAGAGAGAGATGAGAATAGAATGTTGCAAAACCCAGAGCAAGTTCTCACGAATCAAGGAATGAGGAGGCATGGTTGGCTTCGAGACCCATGTCTAGCAATGGGTTCTAGAGCCGGTGTTATTATGGACTAATGTCCAATAAATACATCCAGTCCATGATGCATTTTAAGCCCACCAAACAATGGCTAGTACCCATGTCCATTTTAAATGAAAAAATTCTATCAATTCCAACTCACCAAACAGGACCACAATGATTAACTTGAATCTCCTTCTATGATGGTTTTTTTCCAACCTCTATGCAAAGCATGGGCAAGACCATGCGGAGAGTCATCAGTAGATAAGAGGCTTAGCCATCCAATGAGGTCAGAGCCATTACTCGTCCAAGGAGGTAAAGTTGTCACACAGTTCCATACGTTCATAGCAAAGAGGCATCTGTGAAACAGTGTGAAACAAGTGATCAATAGTTTTAGGGCAGTTTTAACTAGGGGTGGTATTTTAAACCGAAAAACCTAAAAATCACAAAAACCAACCGACAATTTACCGCAATCGCGGTAAACCGAACCGTATTTGCGGTATTTTGATTTTCAAAACTTGCAGTTACCGCAAACCGTAAAGTATAGCCACACGGATGATGAGGTTGAATTCTACAAGGAAATGGAACATATGACAACTTGTAAGTAATTAGTTTATTTATGCTAATGTTATTTATACTTCTTTTTACAATAAAATATACTAAACTATGTTGTTTTATTTGTAGATAACATTGGTGCTCAAACAACACAACAGGGTTCTTCAAATCCACACACCACCAACACTTGAGTTTGTAACTTTAGTTTGTAACATTGGTGCATTCCATTTTCCTTTTAGTTTGTAACTTTAATTAACTTTGAATTGGATTTTTCTTTTTGGTTGTAACTTTAATTCATTTTGCTTTACATTTTCCTTTTGGTTTGTAACTTTAAAGGATTTGGAATTGGAATGCTTGAGAAATTTAACTTTAATTTGAATGCTTGGAATTGTAACTTTAATTTTCTTAGGTTGTGAATGCTTGAGAAGTTGAGGAGATTGTGAATTTATATATGCTTGAGAAATTGAGGTTGTATATTTATTTATTTAGGTTGTGAATTTATATTTTTGTGAATGCTTGAGAACTTGCGGTTTTAAGCCGCTAATTCGCGGTAACCGACCGCAATGCGGTAAACCGCAAAACGCCGTCGATTTGTGGTTTCAAAAATCATCAAACCGCAAATAGTCGGTCGGTTTGCGGTTTGAGTAAAAATTGGCGGTTACCGAACCGCAACCACCCCTAGTTTTAACACAGTGGGCACTCTGGGTTTATTTTGGTTGGAACCTATGGTGACGACTTCGAACCTGCAATCTCTTCGTTATCAACAGCCAAGCAAAGATCGTTATTTTGTTTTCTCTATTTGTTTTCTCTATTAAATTTAATATTTTCTTTCTAAATAAAATAATGATTTTGTTTTCCAAGTTTCAATTTTCAATTTTTAAAACCAAACAATAATCAAGCCATTTTTTATTTAAATATACTTCAAATAAAGTTATTGACATCTTTTTTCAACAAATAATAAATCTTGTTAGTACATAATTGTAAAAAAGATTGAAATGAAGTTGTTAAAAAAAAATGTAATACATAAGTCAGGTGTGGCATGAGCCCATATCGACTCGTTTAGTGGCACAACATGAGCCCCGCCCGGTTCCATATGGGCTAAAGCAGCGGGCTTGAGCCAGATTTGATGTTTTTCATAAGTAAATGGGGTACGGTACAACTTGTTTATTAAATGAGTTTACTCTAAATTAATCAGGCCGGTCCGACACTGCTAGTTTGACGCTTTTTTCAACCTTGCACATCAAGTATATCCATATTGTTCAAGTCTGAAAATTTTATTAGTTTATTGACGTGAAACACATATGCATATCAGTCCTAATATCCAATAAATGTGAAGTAAATTCATTTGATTAACCATGTATAATTTTTCTTAGGCCTTGAGATTCGGAAGGCCATTGAACCCTATATATAATGAACACAAAGGTTTTTTTAAGAAAATATGTCCAGTCTAGTGGTATGGTTCTTGTGTAGTTGGTCATATGTTCAATGCTTGTTTTGGACCACACGAGGCCTGTATTGAAATTCGAAGTGCAACAAATTCACGAGAGCCACAATTATTAATATATATATATATATATAATACACATAAAATAATCCTTTAAAATCGAGGATTTTGTGTAGTAACACCACTTGCACAATGTCAAGATCATTTCTAACATAATATTAAAAAAGAAAAAGTCATTAAACTTGGAAAGTTCTATTAGAAAGAGACTAATTATTTTTTCTTCATAGCTAAATGTTAAAAAAGCCAATGAAATGGTCAAAAGACGAGAAGAGGGAATTTCTCCAGATCGATAGGTAGTTGAAAAGTTGTTGACAATAGCCGAGATGGACAAACCGGGAATTTGGCCATTAGGTACTGCTTGTTGTGGTTAATTAATTTATCACTCTAGAAGCTTTGAGTTTTGCAAGTTGCCGCGTCAATTCTTCATTTGGTAAGCGGTCGGGTCGGCATTCAAGTCCCTTAATTCAGGAGAGCGAATGGAATAAGAAGCGCCAAGAAAGGGAGAGACAATGAACGGACCAGAAAAAAAAAATTAAATTAAATTAAAGGACATCAACCAAATGATGACACGTTTATGGACAGCATGAGGCTCACCATAACCCAATAAAATGGAAAGAAATTGACGAAAATTCAATATTCAAATAACATTTTTTTTTTTTTTGAAAGTGAGCTTGCACTTGCAGCCGCCGGGTGGGTGGCTTCCCTATCTTCCATCTTTCTCCTCATCTTCCTTTCTTCTTTCCTAATTTTCTTCCCCTCTCCTTTTCTCCCCAGATTCGTTTAGATTTTGGGTCCTCTTACCCAGATCTATCTGGATCTGTTTGTTTGTGTGTTTTCTATTGTAGGTCTTTGGTGACTTTTGTTGTTCTTGAATGTGTCTTGCTGTTGTTGGAATGGCTGCGGTGTGGTGTTGTCGACCTAGCTTTTTTCTTTGGTTTTCGTTGTGTTTTTAAAGCAAGTATTGCAATCCACCGTAAGCGCCATGATTTTGTTGCAGCTTTTGGTCTACTCACATGAATTTTGCTCCAGTTCAGTGTTGGAGTTGGAAAAGTGATTGTTGCCGGTTTGTGTGGGATTGGATTTTGCCTGTGCAAAATAAGGACCTAAAAATGACATCATGTAAGAATCAAATTCATTTTGACCACACGATTATATTAAATTAGATCTAACGTCTTAAAACATTTCACAACTTAAAATACGACAATAAAACTGCCTTTTTGCTGCGCATACTTTTCGCTCTATAGATTAGTATCTCCTCAATTTCATTCCGTTAATTTCTAACATCAAATCTCTTCTGAATTAAACTTTGCTTTGTGTTTTACTTAATTTTCCTGAAATTACAAAATTGAAGAAAGCTTTATACTATTTTTTTCCTCTATGTAATTTATCCTAAACCCTAAACCAACCTCTGCACGAAGTTAACCAAAAATAATATTGCAATCACTGTACAAAAATTGCTCGAAGAAAAATTAAGAACAAGGAAAAAAGAAAGAGGCCTAGAACATTACACTTATTATTTCTGCCAATTACAGGCAAAAAGTTGAAATTAGTTAAGAGACGAAGGAAGAAATAACCAGATGAGAGAGTTACCTTCGCAGAAAAAATAGATTTTAAGACCATGGTAGGTTGCG